TTTGAACCTGTTTCATGTATTCTATGTTTTCTCTATTTTCTCCATCAAACAATTCCCTTTTTTTTTGTTCTTCCATTCTACTATCTGATTTTTCTTGGGAGGTGCTTAGCATTTCTTTATTCTAATTATATCTTGCTTTACTTGGTTAAATACTTCACTTTTGAACTTGTCTATGAGGTCTTGAAGATATCGCTTTATGTCTATTGGTGCCATGCCTGATATTGCTTGTTTTCTGTCCTCATTCTCCTTTGCATTTACCTTTCCTGGATTGGTCTTCTCAAGATGGAGGACTGAGGATTCTTTCTTGTTGCCTCCTCTTCTCATATTTTTGTTCCTTCCATATAGGCATATACAGGAGGACCATTTTCTTTCTTTGTTGGTTTCAGTTTGTCTGAAGTGCGCTGACTAGGTGGTCCTGCCCACTGCAGTTTACTAGGAGGTACACACCCAGGCAGCCTACGATGGGCCCGCCCCTCTGAGTTAACCTACTGAAGGCTTCACTGCATTAGGATGCAGGGACCTGGTTTGGGCTGGCCTATTGTGCCTCAGTCCATGGCATCACCCAGGTCAAGCGCTCCCCACCAATCCTGCTTGAGAGGGGAATATGTGACTGAAGTCACTGCAGCAATCCCATTCCAGCTAGTCTGCCCAGTCCCAGAATGTCCTCTGTTGGAGCCTCTTTGTCTGTTCCTCTCACTCACAGCAGGTTGATGCAGGGTTCCCTATCAGTTCTGCTGTCAATTCAGTTCACTGATTCCTGCTCTCAGAGCATTCACATCTCTGTCCCGACTGTGCTAATTCAGCAGCAGCAGGGTATTCAAGTCGTGAGTTCCAGCGGCAGCACTGAGACTTTAGCTGTTCCAATTGTAGCACCAGGATGGCATTTCCAATTGTTTTCTTTCAGCTTAGTTCATTCCTGGGTTGGCAGGGTATATCTCCCTTGGCTTAGGACTCCCCACACCACACCATTCCTGGAGTCTAAGCTGGCTATCTCAGAGAGGCTTTGTAGCTGCTTTTATCTCTCTGCCATCTTCTCTTGATCTCATATAGCTGAATTTCTGTACGATCAATGAACAGAAGGGTTAGCCACTTTTTATGCTTTGATTTTGTGACTTTGGTGTCTATTTGTAAGACAACAATGTTTAATGTATCAATAGCGATTTTATGATTTTTTAAAATTTGGTATTGTTCTACCTTTTTCTGTTTTTCTATTTTTTTCAATTTTCTTTTCTTGGGCTGGGGATTTAGCTCAGCGGCATAAGTACCTGCCTTACAAGCAGGTGGTTGTGAGTTAAATCCCTGGTACTGATAAAAAAAAAAAAAGAAAAAAAATTTTCTTTTCTTTCTTTGAAAAAAAAAAAAGAACAATATCCACTATAACAATCACTGTTAAATTTCTTTCTTTCTGTTTTGAAAACCTATGTTGTTATTGTTTGGAGTTTGTGTTGTTGTTTATCTCTTACTTTTTGTTTTTCTTTTCTGACTTTTTTATTTTTAAAATAAAAAAATTACTTTTATAAGAAAACAATTTTAGTGTAGAAAAATCACACCATGAGGAAATATTCTAAGTAATAAGATTAAAATATGTCTACACATTCACAGATGTATGACAATAAATTCAGGAAAGCTTATTCATATAAATAATTTTCAGAAATATGACTAAGTACAAAGTAAATGTGTTAAAGATGGCATAGAGTTATTTTGTGTCAGGAATCCTCAATGAGTAACACGTGTACAAACATGGATTGGAAAATACATATATTGTTTATATCAATGGGAAAATTAGAATATTTTATAAATATTATTTTAAAAATCTTTCACCAAATATCATAAAATCATTTAGTAAGTATTTTAGATTTGATTACCACATAGTATATGACATTTTCAGTATTTTTCTAGAATACCTAAAGTTGGACTATGGGCACTAAATATTCAAAGCAAAACCTGCTGAAACATTTAACCAGTATTTTATTTTTCTATGTGTAAATAAAAGAACGTATTTAAGGAAAATAATTTACATATATCTTGTATGCCAAAACAGCAATGAAAGATTGGCCTATATTTAATAATTGGTTCATTATGTTACTACTAGGTCATGATCACTGACATTTCTACAACAGTAGTAAGCTAACTTTCTGCTCTCACTACAAGTATTATAAATTCTCATATTGTATATTTATTTTCTTCATTAAAAAGTTTTGTAGTATTGTGTTTGGTTCTCCTTTGTAAGAATCTTTTTGGTTTATATATGTTTTCTAAGTAAATACTTTGAAGATAATAATACATAGTACAGTAATTGCTATTATTCACTTATTTTGTTATAAAATTTTTATTTTTTCATAAAATAAAAACAACTCATTTTCTTTTATCTTTATGTCATTATACTAAAGAATAAACATTCGTTTAATGTTTCTCTACTTTTAAACTAAATGACAACTAAGATTTCCTTCACTTGAATCCATTGTTAAAAAACATATCTCAGTCAGGCATGGTGCACATTCCTGTAATCCCAGAATTTGTCAGACTGAGGCATGAGAATCATTTGCAAGTTCCACACCAGCCTGGGCTACAAAGTGAGCTCAAGGCCTGCCTGAACTACATAATGAGATTTTGTCTCAAAAAGGCAAGAAAAACGTAAAAGAAAATCTATAATTTTAATTTCTCCATTTTATTGCTATTTATCAATTTCTTGTTTGTTTTCAGCTAGTATTTTGGCACTTGCAACTGTGTTTCTTCCTATCATATCATTTTTTGTCTTCATTTTCTGTCCAGCAACACAGAAGCAATAACAACTAATGCACAAATCACCTGCTTTGTTGGTTAAATGGCCAAAGTAATTTATCAACTTTTATAATAATTGAGGGAAAAAATGTTAACAAAATTAACATATCACTTTTTAGTTTTATGTTAAGTAGTAAAGCAGGATTTATAAAGAGCAGTACTCCCTTGATATAAATCAAAGTTTTACTTTTATGCTGATTGATGTGTAGGGGAATCAATAAGTTAGAATGGTGATCAGTGGCCACCAAGGACCAATTGTCAGCATCATATTACACTGACAAATGCATTGTCCCCAATGAGAAGTTGTCTATTTATCTCAGTCTAGTCTAAAAATTATCAGTAGGGTTTTGTTCATTGAAAAGCATTCAGTGATAATAATTAGAAGAAATGCTACATTATAGATAGCATTGTTAGTCATATTTAAGAGATCACTTTGGATTTATAGGTAATTCAATCTTTGTATTTACAAGTTTTGAAAGTCTTGAATCCTAATTGCTTTACCAAGAAAACTCTTTGTATAAGTGTGCATGTAATAGAAAGACCACTGAGTTAAGAGGACAGAAAACTTGTGCTTGAATTGTGGATTTGCCACTTATGTGATATAAGTTTAAGCAAAAGCACAAAATTTTTTGAAGATGCTTTATTTAAACATGGAAAGAAAGTAATATCACACATTACACATGCAAAAATGTATGTGAAATTGGATTTAAAATTCTAAATTGCTGTTACAACTTTTTTAAAAAAATGAGGCAGGGACGTAAGAAATGTAAACAATTTTCAAGTCTATGATTACACACTGTTTTAGTCTAGCCTTATACCTTGACTCAGCACATCAGAGCTGGGGAAACACTCCAGACCTACATGTATGCTAGGCAAATGCTCTAGGCAAATGCTCACTGAAATAAACCTCCAGCCTTATTTTCTCTGTTTAAAAGAAGTTAAACTCTATTTACCAATTTAACTACATATAATTAAAAAGAAAAATAGAGAAAAAATTATAAATTCACCATACATATTTTATTATCACATTTTTGTTCTTTTGTGTATATTTATACATATGCCCTTCTTAGAATTGGAAGTAGAATTTGTAAAGAATCTTATATAATTTTTGCTGTTTTAACATAGAAGCAGACTATTACATCATACAAAAGAACAAAATGTTATTTTTTGCTTTTATTTATTAGTAGTAAATCAACTATTGCTAATAGTTCATTAGCCTTTGTCTTAACAATATCCTCTAATCAAAGATTCAAAGCACTTTGTAAACATGACAACAGTTTCCAAATTTTTAAACTACTCAAGGATTAGTTATGGTCTCTAATATGTCTTATGGCTTTAGTCTTCTATGGTTTTAAAAATCTCAACAAACTTTAAATATCCTTATGTATGAAGTAATTACCAATGAAATCATTATTGATTCTATTTCTATTTTTAACATGCTTTTAACCACATCATCATCAGAACAAAGACAACTGTAAAAAAGCAATTGTATCTATTCAAAATTAATGTGTACAAAAGCACTGTGGGAAGTACATGATAGCATCACATGTTAGTTACTACGATTATTACAAAACACTACTTATTTACTTCACCTTGCACCTTTTATTTTCTCAGGAATATCCGTACTGTGACTATGAGATAATAAAGGCATATACATTTAACAGGTCTGTTTGACTAAAATGATGTTTTGTCTCTATACAAAATGCTGAAACATGGTGAAGAATCTTAAAACAGGAAAAACTGTTCCCAACCTGAAGGGTTTATATATGTTATATGGTGCAATATACTCTATTACTAATTGAACAAAAAATAAAGCACAACCATCAGCCATGTACCTTATCAAAAATATCTTTAAAAGCACAGGATTTTTGTCAGCACTAGAAATAGAATATTTTTTCAGTTGGTGTTGATGTTCTTTGGGGTTTCAACTCTGGTATAGTGGGCACAGGCCTCTGCATCAAAAAATATTCATTCATGGAAAAAGTGTGAAAGATAGAATGTATTATGATTGATGAAAAAATTCCGACAATGAAATCCAATGTTTTATTAAAATGAGTGTGATTTACAAATGAACACTAGAAAAAAATATTCCTTTAGTTGAATATTTTTCTTAAATTTCAAAAATAAACCTATTATTAAATATATCATTATTTAAGATTCTCTAAATTTTAAAACAACATTTCATAATGCATGTGCTTCTCTTTTAAATGACTACTTACAGCAGACAGTCTAGCTGATCTTCTCTTTGGCTATAAATGAAAAAAGAAATGTCAAGTAAGATACACAAAACTAGGATGATTTTTATTGTGAAAATATTTACTGTAATATTACACAAATATTTTCATTAAAATTGTTAACATGTTTAGCAAATAACATTGTAGAAATTTAAGTTTTCATTGTGCCCTGCTGTGGATCCTTCTTATGCTAAGGAAAAAAAAAATCCTGAAGTAAGCTTAATTGTAGACTATATTAACACATTGGCTAGTAGCAGGAAACATTTTAAAATGAAAATATAGGCCCTTCTGGACAAGTGACAAAGCACTTTTTAAATTTTGTTTGTATATTTATTTATTGATTAAAAAGATAATTTCTTTGTATCTTAACTACAAGGTCTTAAATGTTAAGAAGCTTGTAGTTTTTATTACTATCATGTTTATGAAATAGTTCACTGTTATCCCATTTTGGAACTCATGTGGTCCAAATATTTCCACAACTATTTTTAAGCTGTTTATGAGTTTGAAATTTACAAAACAAGTGGATTTTACCTCCTGGAGAGATGCTGAAAGTAAAGACAATCACCTCCTGCCTCATGTCACCTTGATCTGCAGTCTGTGAAGATGAAAAATCACATAGGAATAAGGTCATCAATATAACCACATAGATCAGAAAATAATGTTTATGGAGTATAATTGCAATATAGCTAATTATGACTTTTTCCTGGGCACCCACTCAAGTAGTCATGTGTTATTTACTAGAAGTTATAATACATACTCCTGTCTACTAAAGTATAAATGAACACCAGGATGCCTAAGACATATGTTTACACAATCTATGAGAAATTTCATCTTTTTGTGTAAATAACATCTCTTAAAAACAAACCATTTTCATTTTGAAGTACATCTGTTGTACTGTGCTAGAGCAAAAAAAAAAAAAAAAAAAAAGTGGGGACTGGCCAAATGAAAGCAAAGGTTCATGCAAGTACCCTCTCTTCATTTATGTTTGCTATGCAACTGTATCCTAAGATCTTCTTTATTGGTTCTCTTTTTCACATTCTGCATACAAGAACTACAATTGCTCATAATGCTTTGAAGAAAGAATCTTTCTGTGATAACAGCAATGCTTTATTCTGAGAAGCTGGCCACGGATTTTAAAACTTCCGGCTACATACCTAGTTGCTGTATTGTCAGCTATGTAAAACAGCAAGACTCATTGCACAAGCCTAGGAAAGCACAAAGGTGGAAACCTCAGAAAGAAGTGTGGTGATTAGAAAGGATTGTTTTCCCTATCTGTGTAACTTTACATCCTTGGAATAATCAAACTATTGCATGATTCAAACTTATAGCTCTAGAGTACTGGGGAATTTCAACCTGGTTCTTGTGTTTTAGGACTAGGGAAAGCAGACAGATTAATACAAGTAATATATAAGCAATCATAAAGATATACATTACTAAAATGTTTTATAGTCTTACCAAGCAATGAATCCGTATTCTGTTTCACTTATAGGGACTTAGATGAAACAAACAAACCCAAACATAAAAAAACAACAAACTTAATCTTATTTCCCACCTGAAAGGTGGCAGAAATTTTGAAGTGAGGGTTGCAAAAGAGCTGTAGCCCCAAGACAGTTCAGAGCAATTCTGTATGTTAGAAGGCAACAAATCTACGGCTGTCTCCAAACATCAATAGTGGGATGAGACTCGTTCACCATCCACCTTTTGATAGAGAGCTGGGAGAGAGCCACATTTCTCAACCTAAAAGTTCCTATTTGCAGCGGCGAAAGTCTACCATTTGAAGTTTGCGCCACCTAATGGTACAGTATTACCATTTCATAAGCATCTGGCAAGACAAGAAATGGAGGAGGGAATTGAAAAAAGGGAGGGAAGAAGAGAGAGAGGAAGGGAAGAAGGAAGGAAGGACGGGAGGGAGGAACAGAGGGAAGAAAGCCCGGGCTTTTGCTTCTCCAAAGTAGAAGGGAGCCCGAGCCAAGCAGGAGACAGGAAGAAACTGGCTTCCGAAAGTGTGACTGGGATAAACGTTCTCCAATACAGTAAGCAGAAAAAGGGGTTGGGGTAGGAAAGGAAGGCACTACACCATGGCTGTTTGTAATTCAGCATGCAGACACCTCTGAAGCAATTCTCTGCCCTAAACAAAACACATCAAAAGTAAACACTAGTTGCATGAGAGACCATCTTAAGAGTTGACCAGACTGCTTTTTCCTCTTCTCTTTCCTTCTACTCAGTACATCACAGAATAAAACTAGAAGTCAAAATGTTTTTAAATATATCTCTGCCTTATGAAAGACGTATTTCAGTAGCTAAACTCCCTTCTACCTTTCCGTTTCACTTACCTTTCTTTTTGGCATTATTGCAACTCTATTGGACAGATTGATTGTTAACAGAAAAAAGACAAAAGCAGACTCTCCTTGATCACTCTGAGAAGCAACTGAATTTTCCAATGAACTAACTGCAGCAGGACCCGTACTCTTTAAAAAAAAAACAAAAAGCCTCTCGTTTATCGGCAACATGAAACAAGCCAAGACCCAACCAAATTACGTTTATCGGGAGTGGGAGCCAGATTGGAGTGACAGGCTGTTAAGCCAATAAGAAGAAGTGGCAGGATAGGAAGGTGTGGTCTGCGGATTTGCCAAAAACCCTTGTAGTAAGCCTACTCTGACCCGCGGTGAGATGGAGATGCACATGGAATTCGTGGATGCATAGTACTTGCACATGGCTGCAAGAAAAATCAGAGATGTGTCGATCTTTTTCCTTTCTTTTACTTTGAAATGGCTGGCTAAGGCCCCAATACTTGCTTTCTTCAGTTTCCAGAGCCTTACTTTCACTTCTTCACAGAGGGAAAGGGTGCTTTGGGGAGCCTGTTGAGTCTTGGATAAGTATGTGTCTGAAAAATTTGGCAGGAGCGAGGAGGTGAAGTGACAGGAGTACTTATTCAGAATTAAAAAGAGTTGAAATATGTCTGTGTGGGCTCTTTCAACCAAAGCAGAATTGTGGTCCTGTCATGAGGAGGGTGTCAATATGGCATGCCTCCAGCAGGTGGAAAGGAGGGATACAGGGAACTGGAAGAGAGGGTGGCACCTAGGGAAGGGATACCTGTTAAAATACCACCATCACACTTGGAGGGAGTGCACCAAGAATTCAATAGTACTTTGCAGCTTGTAATAGAAGACGAATGACTTTTTAATCCAAAAGTAACAGTGAACAGAATTAAGTAGGTGCCACACATGAAAGTATCCAAGACTCAAGAGCCTGGACTAGAATAAGAGATTAAAGGACTCATTTGTGGCACAAAATTTAAGTGTGAGAAAAACTCAATACATTAGCTTGAGTTACAACTTGCAGATTGAGTGTAAAATATTGTCTTTATTTAAAATATCAATATTTTGTTCTTCATGCATAGTTTTGCAGCGGTTTTGACCTTTTGAAAATATCATTAAATATTGTTTATCTTCAGTTACTGAGTTTTGGATTGACTCCTTACACTTTTTTGCCTAAGTAGAGTGTCTCCTTAAATTTACTCTAATCCAAGACATGTTCAGGTAGCTTTCTTTCTTTCTTTCTTTCTTTCTTTCTTTCTTTCTTTCTTTCTTTCTTTCTTTCTCTTTTCCTCTTTTGTTTGTATTAGAACTCAGAATCTCAAGCTTGCCAACACACACAAGTTAAAGGAGGAAAGGTTCATTTGGTTCACAGTTTATAGAGGTTTTAGTCCATAGTCATCTGGCTCAAAGGCAGGGTGGAATGGCGATGAGGCATCACAAAAGAAATAGCAAGGCAGGCAGCAGCTGCTGCAACAACAGCACATGTGAGGCAGAATCTCTTCACTTTTAAACCTTTCAGATGACCTGCCTTTTGGATAGTGCCATTCACACCCAGGGTGGACTTCTCCATTATCCACACCCAGAATTATACTTATCAATCAGTGGACTAATTTAGTAATCCTGCACTCAATCCTAGCATCACATAATTTAATCTCAACATCACACATCCTAGAATTCACCACCTCTGTAAAGCCCTAAATATGTGTGCATGATGCTTTGGGGGAACATCTCAATACAAGGCATAACAACCACAGAGACTTCTGCTTCCCTTAAATTTTTTATTCACTCATTTGTTATAAGTATGCCTTTACTCTTTTAAAGTTAAAATAAGTGAATACAGTCAAACTGTATAATGTGATACACATATACTGTGTGTATACATGTACATGATAATTGCTCCAGTGAAGCAAATTAAAATATATAATAAAAAATAGCTCATGATAGGAGTGTGTAAGATCTATTATGTTACAAAATATTCAGTAATTTTACTAAATTCTACTTATTAAAATTAGTCTCAGACCTCGCAAACGTGGAAACAGCTGGCTGGGGCAAGTCTGTGCACCATCCGGAGACCCAGGGAGACTTTCAGAACATCTCTTCAGGAGCTCAAGAACCCGTGCAGAGCCCAGCCACACTGGGCTGTGCTTGGCAGGTTTCAGGCCTGCCGAGAAATGTACAGTGACCTCCCAAACCGGGAAACAGCTGATTGGGGTAAGTTCATGCGCCATCTTGAGCCCTGGGGAGACTTTAAGATCATCTCTTCCAGAGCTCAAGGACCCATGCAGAGCCCAGCCACACCCAGGACAGTCCTAGTGACCTTCTATCAAACTGAAAAACTCTGTGGCGGCAGAGGTAAATTTGCATGACCCCAAGCCCTGAGATACTTTAAGATCAACTCTTCCGGAGCTCAAGGACCTGTCCAGAGCCCAGGCACACTAGAATAGCCTTGGGAGGTTTTGTGGACCAACTATATTATGTCCAGTCACCTTCAATTACAGGATTTGAGAGTACGTGAAGTGAGTTCCAGGGCATTGGTCTTTGCCTGAGGAGAGCTTCAACCCATCATCCACGGTGGTTAGGTGCCTGCCCAGCTACCTGAAACACTGAAGGTGGCATGGGAGGTCCTGAGGGCCTAACTTGACCAGGCTTAGCAACTTCCATTCAGTTCCAGGAGCCTAGGGCAAGGGAGACGATTTCCAACACATCCAGGGGAAGCCTTGTTAACAACACTTGAGGCACAGAAATATAGGAAAATGACAAAGTGGAAAACCAAAATGGAATCTCAAACCCCAGACCATCCCAAGAAACCTTAGGAGCTATGTACATAGAAGAAAATATATGCCATACACCTGAAATATTTGAAATAAAAGCAACTGAAATAAAGAAGCAACTCCAGGACACTTTAAAGGAATTCAAACTACAAATAATCTCCCAGGTAAAACAAGAAATGATAAAAGTAATGAAAGACATGCTGCACATATCTAAAGAAGACATAGTTTAAAAAATTGGAGGAAATAAACAAAAAGGTAGGATCTCTGGATGAACAAAATAAGAAACAAACACAACACATAAAGCAGATGAAAGAGATATACAGGAAATCAAAAATTCCATTGAAAGTTGTAAAAACCACCTCAATGAAAGTAAAGATGGAATTTTAGACCTCGAAAACAAAAATTGCAGCTAGTGACCAAGAAAAGAAAGATCTTTTAAAAATAACAAGGAATCAGTAAAATAACAATCCAACAGTTACATGATGCAAACAAAAACAACATACGATTGATAGGGATAAATGAAAAAGAAGAGGACAACATAAAAGATGTAAAGAGGATATTTAGAGAAGTAATAGTTGAACATTTCTCAAACATGAGAACAAAAACTGACATCAGGATCAGTGAAGCATATAGAACTCCAAATAATCAAAGTCAAAATAAAATTACACCCAGATATATAATAATCACTATCTCAGAAATTCAACATAAGAATAGAATATTAAAAGCTGTCAGAGAGAAACAACACATCACCTATAAAGGAAAACCTATCAGAATCACAGCAGACTTCTCAGCACAAACAACAAAGTCAACAAGAGCATGGAGTGCAGCATTCCAGATACTGAGGTAAAATGATTTCCAACCTAGACTGATGTACCCTGCAAAAACTGTCCTTCAAAATCAATGGCAAAATAAGATACTTCTATGACAAAGAACAGCTAAAGAACTTCATGATGACCAAGCCAACCCTGCAAAGAATACTGAAAGACAGTTTAGATACACTTCGGAAAAAACCACTAAGCAAAGCAGAAAAACAGAATGGAAAGATAAAGATTCAACAGCAGAAAGATAACATATCAATGATGAACCAACACATAACAGTTATAACCGTTAATGTAAATGGTCTCAATGCACCAATTAAAAGAAACAGACTGGCAGAATGGATCAAGAAACAACATCCAACCATATGCTGTCTATAAGAAACATATATAACTCAAAAGGAAACTCACAGAATGAACATCAAAGGTTGGAAAACAATACTTCATGCAACAGGAACCCCCCCAAAAGCAAGCATAGCTATTCTAATTACAGACAATGTGAAATTCAAGCCAATAATGATCAGAAGAGATAAAAAGGTCATTACACACTGGTTAGAGGAAAACTTCAAGAGAAAGAGACAACAATCTTAAATATATATGCACCAAATTCCAGAGTACCCAGTTATATAAAGCAAGTATCAACAGAAATGAAAAAAAATCAAATTAGCGGCAACACAATTCTACCAGAAGACCTTAACACACCATTGACACCAAGGGACAGATCAACCAGACAGAAAATCAGCAAAGAAATAATAGAACTGAATTACACATGTGAACAAAATTGATAGATATATACAGAGTGTTCCACCCAACAACATCAGAATATACATTCTTCTCAGCAGTACATGGACATACTCTAAAATAGATCATGCATTAGCCCAGAGAACATATATAAATAAATGCAAAAATGTTGAAATTATCCGTTGTATGTCATCAGATCATAGTGACATGAAATTAGAAATTAATGATAAAAGATACAGCAAAAATCCAACAAACACATGGAAACTGAATAACACACTCTTGAGTAATCAGTGGGTCACAGGGGAAATTAAAGAAGAAATTAAGCAATACCTACAAGCAAAAGAAAATACAAATACAATTTTGTGGAATCTGTGGGATGCAATGAAAGCTGTCCTCTGTTGGGAGCCGCGTCTGTGATAGCTCGCCTTGCGCGGCGGACGTGCGGCCTGTGGTAAAGAGCAAAGCCTGAGGTAGATTACCCCTCCCATCGAATATGTTAGTTTCCTGCTTACCGCGTAAACAACCCGCTCAACAATATAGTCTGCCTGGCAACTGATGATGTTAGCCAATCAGCTTGCCTTGCTTACTTTAACATGATTGGACACTGTACCCGTATATATACCGGTGCCACCCCTGGGCGGAAGAAGAAGCCAGGTAGAAGCCCAGAAGTAAAAGCCCAAAAGGAGCCGCGGAGAGCGGACCGGTAGAGGCTTTGGGGCAGACTGAAGCACAAAAGGAGCCGCGGGGAGTGGACCAGAGGAGGCTTCAGCTGGGAGAACCCAGGGCAGGCTGTACGGAGAAGGAAAATAAAAAGAAAAGGTTGTCCACTACCAGACTTTGTCGTGTGTCCTTCCTGCCGGCCGGGAGCGGACATCGACAGTCCTCAGAGGAAAA